AGACAACTGGTGTAGTTATACATGGATTTTTTACTGTGAGGGTCCCCTTACCCTCTGTGTTCAAGGGTCAACTGTAGATTTGGTGGTTTCTCAAAAGTTAACGTTTACTTCTGTCATCCTTCGAAGTTCTAGTAAAAGGTATTACTTTGAAGTAGTTATTAGAAACCTAATTTTAGGGACATGTAAATGTTAGAAAACCTGAACAAAAAAAGGTATCTGTTGATTTAAAAATATAATTTTATAATTTATATGCTCTTTTGTTTTGTTTTAGCATCTCTTAACTGAGCAACACAGAAATTTTGCACAGAGTAATCACTATCAAGTTGTTGATAACATTGTATCTAAGTTAGTTTTTGAATTTGTGGAACATGAAAGGGACATGCCTAAAAAGAAAAGGTAATTTATCCACCTAAGTTTTAAATTTTAAACTATTTTCTTAAACTAAAAATAAATCCAAAGTTTCCCATTCTTAGATGGAATATATATTTTGAGAATGTCAGTATGGTTAAGGATTGATTACTTCTTTCCTCTCTCCTCTTTACTTCCAAAAGTGTTTATTTTAGATTACTTTTAAGGTCCTCATTTTAACATTATAGTCTAGAGGAGGGTTTTTTAAAAATAGTAAATATTTTAGGCTTTGTGAACCATAAGACTCAGCTTATACAGATAACAACCTAATTGATTAAGGAATACCCAGTTTAATACAGACAGCCCTTGGGTTACGTCAGACTCAATGTACGTTGTTTCGTGGTTACGTCGCCATATCCCATTTATTTATAAAAAAAAAGTTCTGTCATTTCGACATATGTTCATATGTGCTTTATGTTTTTTATTATTTATTTACAAGTAAAGGTCAGGAATTGTTATCTTTCTTTTAAATTTTTTTTACTGTTTCACTTCATTACTGCTGTGTATGTGCTCCATGTGAGTGACGTAGGTGCTTATGTAGGTGGGTTCTGACTTACGGTGAAAATCGCGTTACGTTGTGCTGTAGGAAGGGACCTCTGATGTAACCCGAGGACTTACTGTATGTGTTTCTGCCTTAGGTTTCCTAATAATTGCTCATTCCACATTGCTAACTAAATTGAAAAGGCAAAATTAATGTACATCACAACATAGAAGTTAAGAAATTTTTCAGAATAATGAAAGTGACCCAAATCTCTCTACTATCATCTTGTTTGATTTATATGGTTTAAAGAGTTTTAAACACCACATTCAAGATGCTGGAAGGGAAGAATGTGGATTGGAAGAGGGGTACTCTAGAGCTTTCAGCTGTATCTGTAGAAGTTTATTACTTTAAAAACATCTAAATTTGTCTGAATGCTAATATTTCTGTATTTTTGTAATATTGCCTAAATTAAATAAGTTTCGTAAATAGTTTTAAAAGATTTTTACTAATTTAATGTTTAACTACTAAGAAATATTTTTTTGGCAATTCTTTTTCTTTTTTTCTAAAAAGATTAAAATACAGCATTGGATCCCTTTCTCCTATTACTACAAATATCCTGAAAAAGTTTGAACCAAAAGAAAAGCTAGAATTGCAACCTATTTCTCAGAAAGACTTCAGGGAAAATAGTGTACCGGTGATCAAGCGGAGTTTTCTATATAAAGAAACCCAGCAACCTGAAGAGGAGCTTGTGTTTATTTCAGAGCACATCCCTAGCCCTTCAAATGAATTGAGAGGACTTGTTGAGAAAACAAATCAATATTCCACGTTAAATCCAGCTGAAAATGACATAAAACAAAATTTTACACATCTATTTCCAGGTAAAAATGGACAGGGATGCATTCTTGATATTTCTAAACATAAATTAATTATAAATGAAAACAACTTGGAAAAAATAAGAACAGATCATTGTCTGTGTAGGCTACAGACATCTATACAAGTTTCTAATTTCAATATAGATAATAGTGCATCTCAACCAAAACAAAAATCAGATGTTGTGCTTTTTCCAGCAAAGGATCTGAAGGAAAAGGACCTTCATTTAATATGTCATGACTATGGTCTGTCGGCAGTGAACAGTTCACAGGAGCACCGAACTATTCAGGCAAACACTCCATCCCAAAGTTGTCTTGGGGAACCCAATGAATGTGACATCAAGAATATGGATAGCTTACCTTCTGGTAAAATCTGTCGGAAAGTGAAAATATTATTACGAAGAAATAAAAAAGAAAATCTGGAACCAAATGTGGATTTAGATGAGAAAAGAACTGAATGTCTTATTACACAAGAGGAAAACAGAATTTGTAGTTCACAATCTCTACTAGACTTATTTCAGACTAGTGAAGAGACATCAGAATTTTTCGGTTTCACAAGCTACACTGAAAATGGTGGAATATGTGATGGTTTTGATGTTTGGAGGGAGGATGATTCAAATCTGTCATCACTGTTTCCCTCCTTCCCTTCAAATTCTACATTTACTGGCTTTCAGATTTAAAAAAATAAATTTACAAGGGATAAAAATCATACTGAAATTTTTATAAATATGTATAGAAATTCTTAGGTTGTTTTTTTTTTTGCCAACTTTGTTTACAGAACCAAATGTAAATGTTAACAATAAAGGTGATATTTACATTTTTATACAGAATTGAATACTTACTATAGAAAAATTGTAGGGTAAATTTGTGACTCACTTTTATATACTCTGTTCATAATTGTTTCATAAGAATATGAATAAGTGCTTTATGACACTGAAAACTAGTGTCAAGTGAAATCTCGAGAATATAAAAATTTAGCATTATTGCCTGGTTGCAATGGCTCAGCGGTTGAGTGTCTGCCTATGAACCAGGGGTCACAGTTTGATTCCGTTGGGGAGCATGCCCAGGTTACGGCTCGATCCCAGTAGGGGGCGTGCAGGAGACAGCCAACCACGTATTCTCTCATCATTGATGTTTCCCTCCCTTCCTCTCTGAAATCAATTTAAAAAAATCTTTTAAATATTTAACATTGTAAATTTAGCAGATATTCTGGTTTTACCTATTGTTTATTAAAATAGAGTCCAATGGCCCTAGCTGGTTTGGCTCAGTTGATAGAGTGTCAGCCTGCAGACTGAAGAGTCCCAGGTTCGATTCCGATCAAGGGCACATGCCCAGGTTGGGGGCTTGATCCCCAATAGGGGGCGTGCAAGAGGCAGTCCATCAATGATTCTCATCATTGATGTTTCTATCTCTCCCTCTCTGAAACAATAAAAATATATTAAAAATAAAAAATAGGGTCCCATGATAACATGGCTGTAAATCAGGAGTTGCTCAGATGGGAAGCAAAAATTTCTAGAAGGTCACAAGACTAATGACAAATAGGGCCACTCCTGCTTCCACCCACTGGTTCCCAGACTTATGTATTCTCTTAGCAGAGACACAGCACCATATAAATGTTTTGAACATCCTAGATTATATTCCATCCTCAAAAATAATCACCTCCAACCCTTCAAGGTGATGCTATAACTGTGCCTCTATTAACTATTACAATGCTCTGTCATTCAGGCAACTTCTGGGTGACTCAGTATGTCGTAGACCTATGGATCACCTGATCATGAACCCATTCCCACACCTTTATTGTGATTTTAATCCCCTAGTGAAACACGAAATTATGAATGATGCCATGCCAGTGAATCAAACCATCTGTCTGTAAACCCTCAAAAAGTGATGTGAGGAAGAAAGAAACACATCTGGAATGTGCCTGTTACTATACCTAGTGTAATCAACTTGCCTGGTGGGTGGTCTCATGGAATTGTGTCATATCAAGAACTCAGTGTTGGTCTCTGTTTCTGACAGGTTGGACAATTGGCAATGGCAGAAACACTAGATCAGCTTTAGTCAATAGGAGCCCAGGCTATTGAGCCCATACGTAACTTTCATCCCTGCCAACATCATTCTTTTGCTCATGTGCCCATTGTGCCAACTTTTGGGTGGTGATAATGTGTGATATGAAGATACATTTCATGACCATTCCCATATGCCACATGCCTCTACCCCTTATATTCAACCCTCTACCCCTTGTATTCAACCTTTCAATCAATCTCTTCCCAAATGCCTTAATAGCCAGTCAAGAAATTTCTCCCTGCCCCTGAGTCCACAAATACTCTACACCTAGGCCACTTCTCTTTGTTCACAAAGGGGATGACTAGGTACAGCACTTGAAGCTCTGCCCATTGGGAAGATTTACCCTTGTGACTGGTTACCAAAGCCACCCACCCCTGAGTACAGCTATAAGGCAGTTGCCATCTATTTTCAGCTTGCACCCATGGAAGCAACTAATTCATAAACCAAGTCTGGGCTTTTACTCTTCATCTGGTCTTAAGGGATGGCCCATATACCTAGAGGTATGATGAGGACCTAGGGAAAAATACCAAGTGAAATGAGGAAGCAGGACCTGATATTACAGGCAGGTTCTAGGTCCTTTCACCAGAGCCTCCACCTTATGGCAGGAAAACCCCTGCCTTAGTTGCAGATGTCAACAACAACAATGATTGGCTAGAACCAGATCATCCCCAAATGGAGGAAATACCAAAGACCTGACCCCAAAGCTCACTGTACCATCATTATAATGAAAATTGACATCGCAAGTAGAAGTGGGGGCCAAGCGGGTGGTGAACACCATGATACTTCCTGAATGGACCATATTAGGAACTCCCAACCTGAAGGTGGAGACAAAATTTGGTGCCACAGGTTTCAAAAACCTGGAACACATAAAATCCCAGGAACTGACTGACCATGTGCACAACTCACTTGCAAGTTGGCCCACATCCACTCAGACGCGTACTTCTGCCCCTTTCACAGAGGCAACGGCAGAAACACTAGCTAGGCTTTGGTGAATAGGAGCCCATGCTTTGTCTCTACTTGAATAAAACTTGCTTTTGTTCTCACTCCAAATCATTCTTGAAATCTTTCCTGTATGAGTCAAGAGCCTGGAGGTCGTCTGATACGAGAAAGGTCCTGGATTGTACTGGGACAGGGCCAGCTCCCGCCTGAACAGGTCTGGTGACACAAGAGCGATGGATGACATGGGGGTCTGGGCTGTGTGCTCATGCAATTCCCTTGAACCTTCTGGTCCTGCTCTTGCCCAGTCTTGGATATACCAATCCTATCTTACAATGGCTTCTTGTTGCACCTGCCCAATGTTATGAATTAGAAGATCTGTCAGAACCCCAGCTCATGATAGGCAGTTGTTACCATATGATGGTTTTTGCTCCATAGTCAGGTGCTCCATCTGCCATACATCATCAAAAATACAAACTATATATATATATATAAATTTTTTTAAGTACATAATTCGCCACTAAAGATGTCGGCTTTACTCTAAAACCCCAAGCCTCAGCTGTGATTTCCCCATGGGGGTTTGCCATAAGCTCCAGTTTTCCTACCTCTAGAACCTTTGAACCTGCCTGGTGAGGCTGCAGAGCTTTTTCTGCTCACAGCTGGCAGCATTCAGCAAAGCAGTATCCCCAGTTGAAACACTGCTGCTACAATCTGAAAAGGCCTATCAGGAATTATGCTTTCTTCATATTTGGGAAGCTCGGGATGCAATAATTTGTCTTTTGGTGGGATTTCCTGGCATGCTCCTGACCACTGACTTAAACTGATACTGATGGGGCAGGGCCCTGAATCTTTTCTTTTTTTTAAAGATTTTTTAAAATTGATTTTTAGAGAGAGAGGAAGAGAGAAACATCAAGGTGAGCTGCCTCCTGCACACCCCCTACTGAAGATCGAGCCCAAAATCCTGGCATGTGCCCTGAGTGGGAATCGAACCAGCAACCTTCCATTGCACGGATGATGCCCAACCAACTGACCCACACCGGCCAGGACCTGAATCTTGGGGTGTATCTTTCACACTTTAGAGAACATGTCTTATCAAAGTTTCCAATGTGCTAGGAACTTCCTTCTCAAATGGTCTGATGAATATGATATCATCAGTATAATGAATGAAAGTGATATTCTCCATGGCATCCTCTTCAAATTATAACAAAGGAAAAAAGAAAGAATGTATACGATGATCTTTTCCCAATAAACGCAAATGGTTTCTCATCCTTTTTTTTTCTGACAGGGATGAAAAATTATGTGTCTGCCAAATAAATGGCTGTATACATGTACCCGAGGCCATGTTCATTTCTAACTTTTTAAAAAATCCTCACCCGAGGATATATGTGCCCCTGCCATGTTCATTTTTAATAGAAAAGACCACATCTGGCATTGCAACTGCAGTAGAGGCTGCTACTTAGTGCAGTTTGTGGTTGTCTACTGTCATTCTTTATGACCCATATGCAATTATGATGGGAATTAACCATCTTCTGGATATTTAACAGGGATAGTAATTCCTCCATCACCACCACAAAACACTACCACTACCACCACCATGACCCCAGGTTAAGTAAGGTATTGGTTTTGATTTATTTATTGTTTGGCTAAGGGAGGAGCAGTTTTAGAGGTTCCTACTTGGTGTCTTTTTCTTTCCTTCCTTCCTCCCCCCCACTCCCACCCCACTATAATTCTTACCCTGTAGGCCAGGGAAATAATGTGGGGGATTTTATGAAGTACTAAGCATTTCTTTTCTAATAATACATTCAGAGGTTGTGAGTGAAACCTTGGTCAGGACTTCATTTATCACCTAGCTCCCAGATGCCCCCACTATAATAGGTGCTTTGGTCCCAGGTACCAGTGTCAATTCAGACACTGCATCCAACAAATATTTGGGTATTTCCCTTTCCCTGGCGCACAATTACTGAAATAAATGGAGGTAAGTCCCTTTGCGGAAGGATTGGGGGAATCATTACCACGTGTACTTGACATGTATTGCAGGGTCCTCCTGGGACATGCCCTTTCCTTTAGTCGGTGATTTCTGGGTTGCAAACCTGACTAATGTCTGAAAACCAAACAAGAGATCCTGACTTCTTATTGGAGCAACCGCTCTCAGCCTCCAGAGGATGATCTATTTTAATGGCACATATTCAGTGATTCCCTTGTTGGTTGTCTTATCTATTTTGCTCCTAAAGGAACTATGTTCTCTTAACCAATTCCACAACTCACTGAGAATCAGGATTTCTTCGGCTGCCTCTTCAACCTTGCCAATTAATACTACGTGTACCTGGCAAGACAACGGCCAGAAGAGCACTACTTCAAAGAGAGTCAAAGGAGACTAATGGACCTCAATATAATGTGCCTCACTATAATAAAGACCACATATGACAAGCTCACAGCTTGGGTCCATGATGTAGGGGATGAAGGTAAAGGGCTATTCCAGGCCTTAGTTCTAATTCCGTTTTACAATGACTATGATGGAATCGTCTGCATCCAAGGTATAAAGTGTACTGTTGAAAACTTGTAGCCCTTTATTCAGGCTACAATTACATGTCATATATAGGATTCTTAAGTGTCTCATTATTTGGAGATTTGGGGAAATGTCTTTGAAATGACAATAAGTGAGATGTGGCTACCAAAATATTATAGAATGTTCTCATAGGCAAGAATTTAGGTCAAAGGAAAGGAGTCCCTCTCTACTGTTTGCTTGTGAAACCATGCCTAAGTTGTACTTAATTCTGGATACCACACTTTAGCTGGGACATTGACACACTGGAGTGTGTTTTCAAAT